TTCGTGAATCGTCAGGCTTCAGAGGGATAGCCGCATCATGCCATGGGCCATGGGTCTCCATCACGCCTCACCTTCGACTGATTGACTCGAAGAACAGCGCGATGGACTTCAACCAACACCATGGCTCCTTCCTGTGACACAACTATACCTCTGATCCAGGCTCCTTCAGACCTCTTCTTCGACTCATCCGTGTGCCACAGAAAAACACGATCACCTTTCTGATATGGACCGTCAGACGGCATAACTCTTTGTGCAAGGTCCTTGCGGAGATCAAGTGGTTGTCTGGCTTCCTGATGAGCACGCATGGCAATTCTGTGGAGATCCAGAGTGGTTCGATCCTCCTCGGCGAGTCTAGCAGAGAGTTGTTCAGCAGTACTGTTCTCCACGTCAAAGAAGTCAGCTGGACGTCTCCCAGTAGCTATCTCCAAAGGAGAATAGCCAGAGACCGTGAGCTGGCAATTCCTAGCCCATGCCACTTTCTTGATTGCCTGACGAACAGTCACCTTCTCTGCGTAGCCTTCATCGGCCAAGGCCTGAGCCATGATGGCCCACGTGCGCTTGAACAAACGCACTGCGGTCTCAGCTCGGTTAGGCCAAGCAGTCCGAGGTCCGCATGGATACGGAGTATAATGCCATGGAACTTGTAATAGGACATGAACTGTGGTGTGAAAAATGCTTGGTCACCTACGATTCCCTTAGGAACGCAGTTGTTCTCCTCTGTCCATTGCCGAAAAGCTCCCAGAGTCTCGGGCGCTTCCAGGCTTGTGAGAGCCGTAGCCCACAGGAGATTCGAGGCACCATCGATGATGACCAAACCCAGGTATGCTTTGGTACCAAACTTGATTTCTTCGGGATCCACGAAAATGAGATCCTGCGATTCTGGCTCGCGGAGGCGTAGGCACGGAGGTGCTACAAACACGACAACCCTTGACAATGCGGTCGTACTTGTCGTAGATCTCTCCTGGCAGTCCAAGCATGCTGGCCCTTCGTCGAAACTGAGCTGAACCCATGTGGTAATGCTTCACATGCAACTTGTAAAGCTCAACATCGTTGTTCAACTTTTCCAACATGCGCTGATACTGCGGAGAAGCCCTTGAGACCTCGTGGCCTGGCAATGGAAGCGCGATCCTCCTAGGTTCTAGTGACTGAGCCTCTGGGGCTCTGAAAAAAGCAAATCTGATTCCTCCGGTTCGGAAGGTGCATACTCTTGAAGATCCGGATCATCCTCAGGAGCAAGAGGAGGAGGAGCCGATTCCTTGGGTACCTCTCCCGGAGGAAAGCTTCCCTTGGCTCGAATCCTTCTTGCTATCGGTGCCTTTCCTTGAGGAAAGCTTCCGGTCGCTCCTGTCTTCTTCGAGCTGTCTTCAGGCTTGCCTTTGCTAATCATGTCCTCTGGCGATCCTACCTTTGAACGGGTTGGATCTCGGGACTTAGCTGGTACCGAGGTCCTACTCTCGATACCTCCAGGCAGAATATTGAAGATGGTCCTACCATTCCAAGAATCAGTTGTTCTTGTGGTAGGAGGCTCAGAAGAACGCCAGTCATCTTCCCGAGTAACGCTCTTGCCTTTGCAGAACTGCATGATCGTCTTGCGCTTGTTGTCCAGATACTCCAATGAGCCCGCCTTGGGTTCATACTTGACCTTCCTCATCTTCTTGTGGATGCGGATCATCTCCATGTCGGCTTCGTTGATAACCCACTCATCATCCGTCGCCAATACGAGATTCTCGGGTACCTCTTCCTGAGAAGAGCATCCCTCGGTCTTTTGGTGGAAACCGTACTCGTAGTGGGAGAAGTAAGTGAGGAAGCTCGACTTCTTATGCTTGTTGAACCGCACATTCCACATCAACTTGCTGAGATCGAGAAGATCAAGTACCAGATGTGAGCTAGGAGCAACCTTTAGCTTCACATCCTTGATACCCAGTAGTACAGGGCTGCTAAGCAAGGCCTTGTCCGGATGGAGTTCGAACTGGAACCTGAGGTTGCGCATCTGCGGCAAGGACATGAGAATGGGAACATGCCCTTGCTCCACAATGTCGAACTCTGTCGATTGAACTGCGTACTCTCGGTCGTACATGCAAATGCTCAACTTCTGAGTGCACTTGGTCGACTCGGAGTTGGCAAAGGTGAACTGAGAAGTGGTCTCAGCTATGGTGTACCAAATGCCACAGTCAGAACTCCATGAGGTCCTGCGCGGCCACTCTCGAAGCCATAGCTCTCGTGCACCCCAAGTCCAGCACCATCGCGGTTGGCGTCAAGGGCTGAGAGATGAATGCTTCCTCGATCTTGTCGATCTGTTGTTCGGTGGCCATGAAAGAAAGGTTCACGGGGTTGACGTGTTCAACGAAGAAGGTCGTGCCGGCTGTGGTGCCGCTCTGGGCAGCATCCGCAAGCTGGGCTTGTCCGTCTTTCCCGGACTTTCCATCCTTTCCATCTTTGCCAAACTTGCTCTTTCCTTTGCCCTTCTTCCCTTTCTTTCCTTTTCCTTTGGCTGCATAGGACTCCTCAGACTCATACCAGGACCAGTCATCCCAGGACTGATCACTCCATTGGCTGTCTTGCCATTGTCCTTCTGCTTGCCATGCTTCTGATTCTTCGGCAAGGTTAGACCTGCCTTTCTTCCGTCTGAAGAAACGCCTTCCTTTGGATCCTTTTCCACCTTTTCCTTTGCCTTTGCGGTGGCGGTGGCCCTTGAATCCGCGCTTCATCTTGCGACCTTGGAAGCGTCGCTGGAACCATGAATAATTCTCGTCGTCGTAAACGCAGAAGGAGTCCTCGCCTGCTTCCAGGAAACCTTCTGTGCCATCCTCCTCGTCCTCGACCCAGTAGCCTTCATCCTTCATCGATCACCAAGAATGTCTTTCGGCCACCGTGGCCGGAAGGAGCGAGAAGAAAATTTGTCGACGGTAGTCTTGGTCGTGCAGAAGATCTCAAGGTAAACTTCACGCAGCTCCGTTAGGTTGTAATCAGCAAGAACTCGGCTCCGACGTGCCATCCATCAATGATGTCAGCACCTGTCGCTGATCCTGCGTAAGGTCGGACAGAGAGACAAAACTCAAAGCAACGAGGTTGGCCGTGATCGGAATGGTCCGAGCATGCTGATCTCTGAGCCTTTCGTTGGCTCGTTCCATTGCTTGCTCTGCTGTGATACCTTCTTGCTCTTCCGGCGGAAGTCCTGCTACGAATGCTCTGACCTCTGCATTGTTCGGGTCCACGATCGGCAGATAGTTGTCGTTCCACGATTCTTGCATCCTCTGAACAGAGAGTTGAAACCTGGTATTCCAACGGTCCATTTCCGCGGTGCAAGTTCATGAACTGTTGGAAGCGGTAGAGGAAAACGTTCGCTGCTCCCTTCACGAAAAGCGGCCGCAAGAAACTCTTGAAGTACCGAACTCCGTTGTTTGCATCCTTCAGCCGATCCCTGTCGAGAAGTCTTTTGTGGATGGCTGCTTCACCTTTTAGCCGATGTAACCTGGACGTGTATCCCCTCGCTAGGCGTACAGGAACACAGGCACTCAGGTGTCTCCTTTTGCCACAGGCGCACAGCTGTATTCCACTGCACTAGAACCTTGAGCAACAGGCATGGATACATGCAAGTGATACGTGAGACAGACAGGCACCTGGATGTGTAACATTCAGTGTTTCACCCCAACCCTATCAGACCATACCATTGGGGGGGGGGGTTGGGAACGCCAGACGCCTGACCATATACACACAAACTCCTTGCACATACA